GTAGCTTTCCCGAAAACTTTGGCCGCCTGCCCGCCCTGAAAACTCTGGTGCTGCAGGAGCTGCCCCTCTCGTGCCTCCCCAACTCGCTCAGCCTGCTCTCCTCCCTGCAGGCCTTATTCTTGCTTGGGTGCTCACAGCTTCGGCGGCTGCCAGAAGAATTCAGCTGCCTCACCAGTCTGCAAACCCTGTTCCTTGAGCGGGTACCACTTCCAAAGGACATTTGTTGCTTCTCTAACCTCCACACCCTCCTAGTCAGAGCCTGCTCCTTGCGGCATCTCTCTGCCTCGTTTCCCGGGCTGTCTTCCTTAGCACGGCTGGAACTGCACGCGTGTTTTGTGGACAACCTACCTGAGAGGCTAGGGGGGCTGAGCGCCCTGCGGCAGCTGCACGTCTCGTTCTGCCGCAACCTCCTGGCAATCCCAGAGTCTCTGACGTGCCTGGCTGGTCTTGAGGCCCTCACAGTTGTTGACTGCGGGGAGCTCTCCTCCCTACCAAGGAGGTTGGCTTGCCTTACAAGGCTCAGAGCGCTTAAGGTCACCGCGTGCCACATGCTCATGGGGGCCTTTGATTCTCTCCCGGCTTCCCTTGCGATCCTGAGCCTGGGAGGCAGCAGCAGCCACCACGCTACGCCTCTGCCGAACGTGTCTGGGCTGACCGGGCTTCGGAAGCTGTGCTTGGACAAGTTTGATGTGGCCGAGTGTGGTACCGAACCGGGATTCAGTAGAAGCTTGCCTCACCTGAAGCATCTGGAGCTGTCCCTGGCGTACGACGCGGAGGAGCCTCCCTTCCCCTTCACGTTTCTCGCTGAGCTTGGCTCCCTCGATTTCCTCAACTCTGGGTTTGTCTCTAAGTTGCCAGCAGACATGTCGTCGGCGTTGCAGCAGCTTCAGAAACTCAAAGTGCAGAACGCTCAGCAGTAGAGAGGGCTCCCAGCAAGCATCACTGAGCTTCACCACTTGACGTCCCTCAAGGTAGAGAATGCTCATAAGCTAGCCGCTCTCCTTGATGGTATCGGCTCCCTATCGAGGCTGCGGGTGCTGCATCTGATCAACTGCACCAGATTGGAGCTGCTACATGCTTCTCTCACCCAGTTCTCCTACCTCCTAGAGCTGACATTCTTCCACAGCTATGCCCTCCGCTCGCTTCCTCCCGGCTTTGCGGGGCTCACCCAGCTCAGGACACTCTCTTTCACTGGCTGTGGGCACCTGCAATCGCTGCCTGGGGATCTGATACTGTAAGGGATGCTGCAGAGGCTGAATGTGCAGGGGTGTGTGAAGGTGGTGGACAAGAATGGGTCAGTAGTGCCTGATTGCATTACTAGAATGCATGGGCTGACCATATGGTATAAGTGTTGAAGTAACTAGGTAGCTAGGTAGGTAGAGGAGCCATGGAAGTGGCGTGAGGGTTTAGGCTAGGAGAAAATGTCGGGGGGAAAGAGTATGAGATTAGAAGAAAGAGCGATACAAGGAGGGAGTTGTACCCTCTACAGTAGGTTCCAGTAACACCTACCAAGCCTACAATTATATATATATAATATATCATTTAACACACCCCCTAGGCTTGGTAGCCGAAAGCACATCACACACGCAGCACCCCCAAAACCCTTGCACCCCCATGCCCTAGAGCAGCGATGGCTTCATCAGCAGTGGTCGACCTCACGATGTGCGAGGCGGCGACGTTAGCAGCGAGGGCAGCGGCTGCAACGGCGGCGACGGCGGCAGTGACGACAGCGGCGGCGGCGGCGGCGTGCGGCGGCGAGGCCAGCGGCACCAGCTGCGGCGGCGGCGGCTTCGACGACAGCGGCGGCGGCGACGGAGCACGCAGCACTCGGCGGCGTGGCTTGACTCCGCGACGGTGGGAGGGGGCGCGCGAGTCAGCCGTCAGCTGCGGCGAGGAAGGGGGGACGCAGGGGAAGGGGGCGGGGCTTCAGCAGCGGAGCCAGGGAGCGTGCCGCCCTATGTGTCGCGCTGGCTGCATGCGGGCGTGCTGGCCTGCGCTAAGGCCGGGCGCTGGCCGCTGCCGTCCGTGCGCTGGCAGGTCGACGCCACCACGGCAGGACGACGGCGCTGTCACGGCAGCACGACATGGCCGTGGCGGCGGCGCGGAAAGGACAGGAGGGAGAGGGAGGGGCGAACGTTGTGGAAGCGCGATGCGGAGGCCCGAGCAGGACCCGCTCTGATACCATATTGAAGAGAAGCCATGGAAGTGGCGTGAGGGTTTAGGCTAAGAGTAAATGTCGAGAGAAAAGAGTAAGAGATTAGAAGAGAGAGGATACAAGGAGGGAGTTGTACCCTCTACAGTAGGTGTGAGAGATGTAGATGTTGCAGAGGCTGAACGTGCAGTGATGTCAGGTGAGGTCACCCCTCAGCATCACCAGAATGAAAGGGTTCAACATATGTAAGAGGTGTGACGTAGCTCTGGGGCAGACCCTTTTGCATGCTTTCGATTGATGATTGTTGCCAACTTCAGCTTGTCTAGCATGTACTAGTAATAGGGTGATTACATCAAGTCAGCCTGGTTTCTTTCCCTTCTCATCCTCCTGCGGCCTGCCCCCTTGGCTTGCTTCTTTTGTTTTTAACAAGTCCACCACTACGGTACATTTCTCAGAGTCATTAAACAACTTAGCAAGTGCTGGTGAGAAGTGCAAACTCTAGCTTTGTTTGTTAATTGTTCGTTTTCGAATGTGTATGCTGCTGCCTTATATGATTTCCGAAATCTTTTTTTTATCAAGGTGCGTCAGCTTTTCCTCCGACCAATCCTTGTTGCCCTCGTTACAGTAGCGCGCCGATATTCTCCGGCCCGCATTGGCTCGTGTCCCCCCTCCCCTCCTCTCGCTTCCTGCCACAAACCAAAACCATGAGCATGGCTGAGCTTTGGGACCTCCTGTTCAGTTCGGGCTAAGAGAGTGTTCGTACACGGCACCGTACTCTTCAACACGGTAATGTATGGTACAGCTTGGTGGAAGGAGAAACTACACTTCAGATTCCTCCCCGACGACTACAGTGCACTGTAGTGCTCTCCAATTCCCCATTCGATGCACTTATCGGAAACCCTAACTGCAGCCTCTCCCCACCATTCCCCTGCCATCCGTCATTACTTCAGTTCCCTGCTTCACTCCTTTCACCTGCTCGGCTAGCCTGTCTCCCGTCCCAATCATCTGTATCCTGCAGTCAAATGGCAGTTATTCCGTAGTTGCAATTACTTGTTTGTGTGATTACGATTAGAAGTGTTATCTGCTGTGGGTCTTATCTGGATGGTTTTCGGGAGGTAGGGGTTTTTTGTTTGTTTCCAGTCTGTCTGGCGTAGTAAGTGCTTAATAATGGATCGCGCTACTCACGAAACGTGTTGCTCCCATTCACAGGCAAGTTTTTTCTCTTTTCCTTCCTTATAAGAAATCAGCCACTCGTTCTTTCATGTCGTACCGAAGTCTAAATTCCTGTGTTACTTTTCGCTTTTGTCGAAAAGCTTTTACTTCCTAACAAATGCCCATCTGTGAAAGCTTAACGTTATATCCGCTACAGCTTATCATTATATACTTTCCTTATTACTGTTGACATCCACGCCGTGCTCGTGTCCTTTCTTCCAGGAAGTTGAAAGTCTCCGTCAACTTCTAAAATGCGCGACGGAGGAGCTACAATCCGCGAGAACCGCGGCCGCAGCACAGGGACAGCTGCATGAGGCGCGGGTTCGATACCTGGAGGAGCAATTAAACGTGGTGAAGCGGGAAAGGGACGAGCTTAAGGAGCAGCTAGAGAGCACTGAGCAGAAGCACAAGCAGGAGCTGGACCAAGCCCGATCGGACTCCCAGGCCTTAATCCGACCGTCCATTACAACCACGGTTGCCGAGCCCGTGGACATGGCTCGGGTTACCGAGCCTGTGGTCCTGGCTCGAGTGGAGAAGGTGTCTATGACTAGGGTTGAGTCTGTCAGTATGCAGACTGCTCCTAGCGCTTTAACTCCTGGCTCCTCCATTCAACAGTTCCAGCAGGGTGACACGTGGCAGATGGCGCCTCAGACGACCACTGTGTATCATCACGAGCAGCATCACCAGCATCATCAGCCGCCGCCGCAGCAGCAGCAGCAGCAGCAGGTGCAGCAACAGGTGTTTCATCAGGTGCGGGTGGAGAGCCAGCAAACGACGGAGCAGCACCAAATACGGACGTCCTTAGGAGCCTCTGGCATTCAGATGCTCACTACCCCGCAGGCTGAAGCAGCCCCGTCCGCTGTAGCAGCGTCAGGGTCAGCCTCAGCTCCTGTGATCGTGGAACTTCCCCCCGAGCCTGTGGTTAGTCAGTCGCAGACGCAGGCGTCCCAGGCGACTCAGGCGACGGCTCAGGCGACGGGCCAGCAGTCGCAGCAGCTGCTGCCGTCGTCACCTGCTGTCGCGCAGGTGCAATCGTCCGGGCCATCGCGCCAAGCGTCGCAGCTTTCGCAGGAGCAGCTGCTGACGATGGAGATCCAGCAGAGCGAGGAGCAGCTGCGACTGCTGCGACAGAAGCGACAGCAGATCCACGAGGAGGCGATGAGCGTCGATTCGCAGTGCCTGCAGCAGCAGGAAGAGCAGCAGAGCACACAGCAGCAGCAGCAGCAGCAGCAGCCATCACAGCAAGAGCAGGTGCAGCAGCTGCAGCAGCAGATTGAGGGGCAACGCTTGCAGCCGTCCCTCCCTGCTGTCCACTCGGGTGGGCCCACCTCCTCCGGCGGCCTCCCTCCCCTCCCTGGCAGCTTCCCCCAGGGGCCTACCTCGGGACCCCAAGTCCTGCCCTCGGTACAACCACACTCGCTACAAGCTCAAGGGATGCAGGGGGGGATGCAGGGACAGGGAGTGCCTGGGCTGGGAATGCAGGGACAGGGTTTGTCGCAGCAGCAGCAGCCCAATCACCAGCAGCTGCCGACTCACCAGCACCAGCAGCCCACCCAGCAGCAGCCTGTGGTTCCACAGCCGACTGCATCGGGAGGGCAAGTTCTTGCGAGCTCAACAGCAGCAGAAGCACCGCCGCCAGCGCCACCCTCCGTTGGAGGCGGTTCCGTCCCCGTGTCTCCTGCAGTGCACACAGCCTCGGGAGGTGGCTCGGTGCAGCGTGCCGGACCTAGCCTGCTGGCTCGGCAAGGGTCTGGACCGGGAGGGCTTCCGCAGCTAGTGCAATCCGTTCCATCATCTCCCCAAGTGGGATTCGAAGTAGCTTCTAGCGCGGATAGCTTTCCCAAGCAGCAGGGCCAGTCAGGGCAGCAGCAGCAGCAGCAGGGGCGGATGCCGAGGGTGGGGAGCTGGAACGACTTGTCACAGCAGAATGGGCAAGGGGGGACGGGTGGATCAGCAGCAGGGGCAGGTATGGGAGTGGCAGGAGGGGGGGGAGTGGGAGTGAGTGTGGGAGCAGCGTCCGCACAGAGTAAGGCGTCCAGCCTTGCTCCCAGGCAGCTGCTGCAGCAACTGCCGCCCATGCCCCCTCAACAGCAGCAGCAGCTTCAGCAGCCGCAGATGCAGCAGCAGCAGCAGCAGCAGCAGCAGCAGCAGGCAGCGCTGTCCGGTCAGCAGCAGTCTGTTCCGCCTTCGCCTTTATTGCATGCCCAAAGCCAGATGCCACCAATGCACGCGCATGCACAGGCACAGTTACAGGCACAGGCACAGTTGCAGGCGGAGTTACAGGCGCAAGCACAGGCGCAAGCACAAGCACAAGCACAGGCACAAGCACAAGCACAGGCACAAGCACAGGCACAAGCACAAGCACAAGCACAGGCACAGGCACAGGCACAGGCACAGGCTCAGGCACAAGCACAGGCACAGGCGCAAGCACAGGCACAGGCACAGGCACAGGCACAGGCAAAGGCACAGGCACAGGCACAGGCACAGGTACAGTCGCAGTCGCAGCAGCTGCAGCAGCCGACGATGCAGCAGCAGCCGCCAGCTTCCCCTGCGCTCCAGCCAGGGACAATGCAGCAAGTGCAGCCGCAGCAGCAGCAGCAGCATGTAGCGGCGTCGCCACTTCTGCAGCCAAGGCAACGCCCTCCTCCCTCCCCCATGCTACAGGCGCAGCAGCTGCAGCAGCAGCAGACGCAGCAGCAGATACAGCAGCAGGTTCAGGCACAACAGTTACAGGGGCATCAGCAGCAGCAGCAGCAGCAGATGGGGCCGTCTCAGCAACAGGCAGCAGTTTCAGCCATGCAGGTGTCACCGCCTATCCCAGCAGCTCAAGACGCTGCTGCCTCCTTGCAGCAACAGCAGCAGCAGCAACTGCTGATGCGGCATAAGCTGCTTCAGCTGCAGCAGCAGCAGGAGCAACAGCAGATGCAGCAGCAGCAGCAGCTGCAGCAGCAACAGCTGGAGCAACAGCAGCAGATGGAGCAGCAGCAATTGCACCAGCAGCAGATTGATCAGCAGCAGCAACGGTTACAGCAGCAGCAGCAAGTTGTGCATCCCCAGATGCCAGTGCCTGTCACTGCGTCGCTGCCCCCTCTTCCTCCTCAACAGCAGCAGCAAATAGCATCACAGCAGCAACTAGCGCAGCAGCAGCAGCAGCAGCAGCAGCAAATGCAACCATTTCAACAAACGCCCTTAGACGGCGACTTGGGACGGTCTGTTGGAGTCTTACCTCCCTTGGGAGGCCCGCCCACAGACGAAGGGCCACCTCTTGGCGCCATTCCCCGCCGCATAATGCCTGCTGCAGCCACGGCGTCAGGGGACGGCGGGGGCGGCTGCGCAAGTGGCACGGGATCGTACTCTGCGTGCGATTTTCGGGGCTCCCTGCCCCCTCAGGTGCTCTCCTCTGTGCCCAGCTCGCCTCAGCGCTTGACTTCACTTGCTGTCACTGCTGCTGCTGCTGCTGCTGCTGCTGCTGCTGCTGCTGCTGCTGCTGCTGGTGGTGGTGGTGCTGGTGGTGCTGGTGGTGCTGGTGGTGCTGGTGGTGGTGGGGAAGGGGGTGGTGCGGGGGGGGGGCGGGAGGTGGGGCGGGAGGGGGGACAGGAGCAGGAATGGAGGTGGAATGGGGAACAGGAGGGGCGTTTGCTGGTGGGGATTCGGGAGCTGTGGCGGCAGGAGCAGGAGGGATGGGTGGCTCTGCAGGTGCGGCTGTAGCAGCAGCTTCAGCAGCAGTCGCGGCATCAGCTGGAGCTGCAGCAGCGGCAGCAGCTGCTGCTGCTGGTGACGTGGACAAGTGCATCCTGATGCCCAGCTCAGGGGTCATCGTGGGCCTCAGCAGCCTCGAGGGCACGCCTCCCTGCGTGGAAATGGTGGGGCCTCTGGCGTTAAGGATGATCCGAGAGGCGGATAGCAGAGTGCCGAGCCCACTGAGGGATGTCAGGGATGGGAGGGCGGAAGGGCTGGTGTGCCTCGCGCCGGCTTCTAGCTTTGTGGAAGACTCGGGGGATTCGTTTATCCTGCAGCAGCAGCAGCAGCAGCAGATTTTTGTTGAGCAGCAGAACCAGCAGCAACAGCAACAATTCCAGGCACAGCATTTGCAGCCACAAGTACCGCACTCGCACTCACTCCTCTCAGACAATGCGCGCCCCACTCACACCCCGATAGTCCCCCCCACCACTCACCCACCCTACCCACCCACCGAAGACGCCATTCTGGAAAGAACATCCCCGTTACTAGCCCCTCACATACCACCACAATCCGAACCAGCGTCGGCCCTCTCTAAAGCACCCCCTTTGCAAACCCTAGGGGATAGGCGCTCGCCCCTACCCCCCGGTCACTCCCCCCTCCCTACCACCCGAATGCCAGGCTCTGAACCCGCACCTCTAGACTTGGATAACTGTGGGGGGATGCCTGTGCGAATGCCGCTCCAGGGGATGCCTGGGGGGATGCAGTGTGAGGGCATGCCGGCAGGGGTGCAGCAGCAGCTCCAGCAGGCGCAAGTGCAGAGTATGCTGAAGCTGCACATGCAGGCCGCTGAAGCCATTGGGAAGGCGCAAGGTCACACACAGCAGCAGCAGCAGGCGCAGCAGCAGCAACAGCAGCAGGCGCAGCAGGTGCAGCAGCAGCAGCAGCAGCAGCAGCAGCAGCAGCAGCAGCAGCAGCAGCAGCAGGCGCAGGTGCAGAGCATGCTGAAGCTGCACATGCAGGCAGCTGAAGCCATTGGGCAGGCGCAAGGAGCAGGAGAGAGGGGCGGGGCGAATAGTTGCCAGCAGATGCAAGGTCAGCAGCAGCAGCAGCAACAGCAGCAACAGCCGCAGCTGCAGCAGCAGCAGCAGCAGCAGCAACAGCCGCAGCAGCAGCAGCAGCAGCAAGAGCAACAGCCACAGCAGCAGCGACATCTGCAGCAGCAGCAGCAGCAGCAGCAGCAGCACGGACTATTCCAGAGAGGGGATAGCTCCCCTAGTACACTGTCCAAGGGCGTTCTGGGGGGGGTTGATGTGGTGAAGGTAGAAATGGTGGAGGTAGCGGAGTTGACGCCTATCCTTGCTGTTGACTCACACCAACTGCAGCAGCAGCAGCAGCAGCAACAACAACAACAACAACAGCAGCAACAGCAGCAGCAGCAGCAGCAGCAACAGCAGCAGCTGCTGCTACATCAACAGCGACTATCACTGGAGAGACAGCATCAGCAGCAGCTGCTGCAGCAGCAACAGCAGATGTCACTTTCACAACAGCAACATCAACAGCAGCAGCAGCAGCAGCAGCAGCAGCAGCAGCAGCAGCAGCAGCAGCAGCAGATGGGAAATACAGGAGGTCAGAGAGAAGGGGAGGGGCAGGGCCAGTGGGCAGGAGCAGAGGTAAAGGCAGAAGAGGTTGGGCTCCTAGACATCCCTCATGGCACTAATGGGGGGGCTGCCAACGCTTATGGGACCAACGGGGCCGCGAACGGTCATGGGACTGCTCAAGGGGTAGGGGGGCCAGGCGGAGGCGTGGGAAGTCACGAGGAGGAGGACGAGGAGGATTTGGAGGAGATGGATGATGAGGGGGACGAGGAGGAGGAGGAGCAGCAGCAGCATCAGGGTCAGATGCCCCACTCGCATCCACACCGCTCCCAACCACACCCGTTCCTACTCCACCCCTTGCACCCCGCGCACCCCTACCAGCAGTTCCAGCACCTGCCCCCGCACTTCCCCTACTTCCATCCGAGGAACGGAGTCACTGCTCACGCCATGGGGCTATCGTCTGTCCCTTCAATCACCTCTTCCTCTCTCCCTGCTGCTTCAGCTGCCGCTGCTGCCGCCGCCGCCGCCGGTGCTGGTGGTGGTGGTGGTGGTGGTGCTGCTGCTGCTCCTGCTGATGCTGCGGCTACTGGTGCTACAGCAGCCACGGCTGGTGCTGGTGGTGCTGCTGCCGCCACTGGTGCTGCACCCCGTTGGAACTCCTCTCTCCCCCCTCACACCCAATCCGCCCCTCCCAACATCCCACCCCCCCCACCCGCCTCTGCTTCGGCTGCTGTTAATAACGGCCCTCCCCCTCCCCAGCCCCTCCCTTCTCTCTCCAATCTCCCTCGCATCACTGGCGTCCCTGCTGCTGCCACTGCCCCCATCCCCCCCGCCCCCATCCCAACCACTCTCAACCCCATGGTCATCCCTCCCTCTCTCCCCACCCTAGACCCCGCCGTCCTAGCCTCGGTTCTAGACTCTGACGCGCGTCAGAGGCACCTTCCCGAGCCTCCGGATACTGACATGCAGGCGATGCTGAAGGCTCTGCCTGAGCAGGGGCAACTGGTGAAGGCTGTGCTTGAGGCTGGGCCGCTGCTGCAGCAGCTGCTAGCAGCAGCGCCAATTCCCCCTTGGAGGACAGCCCTGCAGCCTGGGGATCATCCTGCTGCTGCTGCGGCGGCGGCGGCCGCTGCTGCTGCTGCAGCTAATGCTGGTGACCCAGGTGCGCTGTTTGTGCGGCAGCAGCAGGAGGCACAAGGGGAGAGAGAGCAGCAGGAGCAGAAACAGGGGTCAATACAGCAACAGCAGCACCAGCAGCACCAGCAGCAAGCGGCAGCAGCAGCAGCAGCACAGGGAGGGCAGCAGGGACAAACAGTGGGGGGACCATCCCAACCAGCAGCAGAGCTACCCATGTCTGCTGGCACCCTCCCTCCTGCCATGGCTCCACTGCCACGTGTCAGGCTCCCATTCGCCCCCACCAGCGCCGCTGCCGCAGCAGCAGCGGCAGCTCTTGGCGTGGGTCCCCCCCCCATCCCTCTCCCTCATTTGACAGCAGCAGCAGCGGCAGCAGCAGCATCTGCCAGACCCCCGACCTTGCCTGTCCCTGTGCCTGGCTCATTTGGCACCGCTGCTGCAGCTGCTGCTGCAGCTGCTGCTGCTGCGGCTGCGGCAGCGGGAGCAGGGGCGCATCCAGGGTTGTTCCATTCATACGGGCCGCCCATTCTGGCCAATGGGCATCTTCCCCAGTCGTCCTCCTCTTCGGTTCGAGTGAAGGGGGACTCCTCAGGGCTAGTGTGAAAGGTGTCAACTTATACATATTATCTATGTAGAAGTTATAGGCTAGACTGAGGTATGCTTCTAGTGAGTACAACCAACTAGTATTTGTTCTAGGTTTCCACCTCTAGTAATCATTCGTTTCTACGTTAACATGGTATCACGCTTAGGTTAGGATCCCCCCGCCTCCGCTTCCGCCCGTCGCGCCTCCTAGGCCCCGTCGCGCCCCCTAGGCCCCGTCGCGCCCCCCCTGGGCCCCGTCGCGCTCGTTAGGCCCCGTCGCGCCCCCCTGGGCCCCGTCGTGCCCGCTGGGCCCCGTCGCGCCTCCTAGGCCCCGTCGCGCTCCCCCTGGGCCCCGTCGCGCCCGCTGGGCCCCGTCGCGACCCCTAGGCCCTAACGCGCCCCCGCTGGGCCCCGTTGCGCCTCCTAGGCCCCGTCGCGCCCCCCATGGGCCCCGTCGAGCCCGCTGAGCCCCGTCGTGCCTCCTAGGCATCGTCGCGCCTCCTAAGCCCCGTCGCGTCCCCCCCCTCTGGGCCCCGTCGCGCCCGTTCGGCCCCGTCGCGCCCCTCCTAGGCCCTGTCGTGCCCGCTGGGCCCCGTCGCGCCTCCTAGGCCCCGTCGCGCCCCCTCTGGGCACCGTCGCGCCCGCTGGGCCCTGTCGCGCCTCCTAGGCCCCGTCGCGCCCGCTGGGCCCCTTCGCGCTTCCTAGGCCCCGTCGCGCCTGCTAGGCCCCGTCGCGCCCCCCCTGGGCCCCGTCGCGCCCGTTAGGCCCCGTCGCGGCCCCCCTGGGCCCCGTCGTGCCCGCTGGTCCCCGTCGCGCCTCCTCGGCCCCGTCGCGCCCCCCCTGGGCCCCGTCGTGCCCGCTGGGCCCCGTCGCGCCCCTTAGGCCTCGTCGCGCCCGCTGGCCCCTGTCGCGCCTGCTGTTAGCGCTCGCCTGCCTGGCCTCCTAGTGCCGCTCGGCCTCCTCCTAGTGCCGCCCGGCCTCCTCCTAGTGCCGCCCGGCCCCTTCCTAGCGCCGCCCGGCCTCTCCTCAGCGCTGCCCGGCCCCTCCTCGTGCCCGACCGGCCCCAGCAGCACCAGCCTGGCCCCTCCCAGCACCAGCCCGGCCCCAGAGCACCTGCCCGCCTCCCCTGCTCGGCCTGCCGTGTCCTCTCGGGCCCTGTGTCTTCTGCTCGCCTGCGCTGGGACGCCTAGCTACTGCCCTACTGGAGAGTGCTGCCGCCGTGTCCCCGCGCCGCTGTGCTCCTGTGCCGCTGAGGAGCTGTGCTGCTGTGCCGCTGTGTCGCTGAGGAGCTGTGCCGCTGACCCTGCACGATGGCTGACTTTGTGCTCCGCCTGGACGCTGAGGGCCACGCGGTTGACTTCGCCGCCTGGCTCTCCGATCTCCGCCGCCAGCTTACAGGTCAGCGCCAGGATGGCCACTCTCTGGTTGTCCATGCTGATGGCTTGCTCCCCCGTCCCCCTGCACCTACTCCCCTCCCTGCTGACCCCTCCTCTGATGACCGTGAGGCTTTCTCTACTGCTGCGCTGGCCTGTGCGGTCTGGGACTCACGCGATGCAGTAGCTCAGGTTGCTATTAGTCACGCCCTCCCTGTGTCTGAGCGCTCGCGTTTTGCTACTGTTGAAACGGCCAAAGCTTATTTAGACGCCGTTATTGCTCGCTATTCCACCCCTGCCTCCGCTTCTGCTGGCCGCTTGCTCTTTCCGATGCTGTTCCCAGACCTGGCTGCCTTCCCTACTGTCGCAGACTTTGCCACTCATTTGCGTGCCCTAGAGACTCGCTATCGCACTGCCAGCACTGCTGCCCAGCTCACTGCGCTCCCCCCTCCTTTCTGCATGACGCTCTATTTTATCGCTATGCGCCTGCCAGACCGCCTCGCTAGTGCTCGCGACCACTTTCTTAGCCAGCACCCGGGTGACCTCACCCTGACCGCCTTTGTCGACACCCTCACTGAGATCGAGACTCGCCAGCGCACTATCGCTCAGTCGAGCGGTGCGCCGGCAGTCTCTATCTTTCACGGCTGTGCCCCATCCCAGTGCACGTTCACTGACGTTTCGGCTGCGGTCGCCACGGCGACCCCTCTTACCGAGACGGCTGCTGCTGTCCACCCGCAGCAGCGCTCGCGTCGCGGTGGCCGTGGCCGCCAGGGAGGTAGGGGTGGTGACGCAGGTGGTAGTGGTCGTGGTGGTGGTGACGGTAGTCCGCCTGAGGGGACTACCACCGGTGGGCAGGAGCAGCAGCCCCAGCAGCAGCAGGACCAGCCCCAGCCGCAGCCGCCGTCCCAGCAGCACCCGCCGCAGCCGTGGGCTCGTCTCCCGCCTGGTTGGCCCGGCACCTCCGGAGGCGGTGGCCGTGGTGGCGGCCCGCGCAGCTTGGCGTCTACCAGCGGCTCCAGTGCTGTGACCTGCCAGTACCAGCTTCAGACCGGGCCTCTCCGCGGCACTCTGTGCCGCCGCCCGCACCCGACCGCCCGCTGTTTCCGCCGCCTCGACGATCTTTTTCGTCGTCGCTTTGGCCCGGCCCCGGACCTCCCTGACTGGCACAGCCTACTCCGCCAGGGCGTGCCGATCTTTGAGTTAGACATGGATCAGATAGGTGCTGCTTTGCATGCTTTGTATGCTGACGCTTCTAGTGTTGCTGAATCTTACTACCCTGTGTACTCTAGTTTAGGTGTTTCACCCTTGTGTAGCTTAGCTTCCCCTGCTGCGACAGGCGTAGGACTGCCTAGGTTGCCTAGTCTAGTCGCTGCACCGGCTCCGTCCCCGGCCTCCGCCACTGCGTCGCTGTCCTTCACTCTCGACTCTGGTGCTTCTGCCTGCTTCTTCCGCGACCGTTCCACGCTCACGCCGCTTGCTGCACCTGCTGTTGTCTCTCTCGCTGACCCCTCTGCGGGTCCGGTCGTCGCGCGCAGTTCTACGTCCCTTCCTTGTCCGGCAGTTCCCTCGGGCTCCCTTACTGGCCTCCACGTTCCCTCGTTCTCCAGGAACCTGGTTGGTGTCGGCTGTCTCCAGGACCTCGGCGTCACCACCACGTTCCCCGGGCACGAGCGGTTCGCTGTCTGTTCTGAGGCTGTCTCAGGTTCCCCCCTTGCGACGTTCCCCCGCGACCCGGTGTCCGGTCTGTTAACCCTACACACCGCTTCCCCCCCGGTTGGTGCGTCCTCCCAGGTCGCTGCAGCTTGCTCGTGTCGGTCCCTCACTCACCCCTCCCTTCTCTGGCACCACCGCTTAGGTCACCCTGCTCTCCCGCGTCTGCGTCACATGTCCCAGCACGGTCTTGTTTTAGGTCTCCCCACGTCGCTCCCTGCCCTTCCTCCCTCGACTGCGCCACCGTGCACGCCTTGCGTCGAGGGTCGGCTCCGCCGTGCTCCTCACTCCTCCTCGCTGCGTCCTGCTACTGCCCCCCTTCAGACCCTGCACTTGGACGTTTGGGGCCCTGCCCCCGTCCCCGGACCGCGCGGTGAGCGCTACTTCCTTGTGCTCGTCGACGACTACACGCGCTACACCACGGTGTTTCCCCTGGAGCGGAAGGCCGACGTGCCCGACGTTCTTCTCCCGTGGGTTGTGGCTGCGCGTCTCCACCGCGGTCTCCCCGTGTTGTGTCTCCACTCCGACCGTGGCGGCGAGTTCGCCTCTGGTCGGCTTGGACAGTTCTGTCGTGCGGAGGGCATCACCCAGTCGTACACGTTGCCGGACTCGCCACAGCAGAATGGGGTTGCTGAGCGCCGCATCGGCTTGGTCATGGAGGTCGCCCGTACCTCCATGATCCATGCCGATGCCCCCCATTTTCTGTGGCCGTTCGCTGTTCGCTACGCGGCTCACCAGCTTAACCTGTGGCCACGCTCCCAGCGGCCGCAGGTTTCGCCGACCCTCCTTTGGACCGGGTCCCCTGGTGACGCGTCTGCGTTCCACGTCTGGGGCTGCCTTGCTCACGTTCGTGCCTCTGGCACGGACAAGCTCACTGCCCGCACTGTCCCCTGTGTCTTCCTCGGTTTCCCCCTGGACTCGTCTGACTGGCTTTTCTACCACCCGCCGTCTCACCGCTTCCTCCACTCTCGTGACGTCACCTTTGACGAGTCCGTCTCCTTCTACCGCCGCTTCCCTCACCGAGGTCTCCCAGTTGCCCCCCCCTTTTCCTTGCTCCCTCTCCCCCGGTAGCCCCTGCCCCTCTCCCGCCTCGTCCTGCCCCGTCTGGTGTCTCCCACGTCACTCCCCTCCCGTCGGTTGTCCCCGTTGAGGAGTCTGCTGACTCTGGTGGTACCCCCGGTCCGTCCTTGCCGCGTCCCCCTTCCCCGGTGCCTCCGCCCCCACTGTCGCAGTCGCCGACCCCGCTGCCGCCGCCGTCGCCGTCGCCGCCGCAGCCGTCGCCGCTGTCGTCGCCGCCGCCGCCGCTGTCGCTGCCGCAGCCGTCACCGCTGTCGCCGCCGCCGCAGCCGTTGCCGCCACTGCCGCCGCTGCTCTCGGCCCCTGGGGGTGCTGGTGTGGAGGAGGGTGTTCGTCCTGCGGCTTCTGGGGGTGCCGCTGGTGTTGGAGGGGGTTCTCGCTCTGGGGGTGTTGGTTCTGGGGGTGCTGCTGTTGAGTGTTCTGCCGACGGTCGTTCTGCCTCTGCTGGTCCGAGAGTTCCGGCCCAGCCGTCGTCGCCGCCGCAGCAGCCGTCGCCGCCGGTTTCCGCTCTCCGCCTGCTCGGCCTTCCCTCCCCGGACCGCGCGCCGGTGTCTCCCCCACCGCCTCCTGACCTTCCTGTCTACGGTCCTGTGTTCCCGCCGCCAGACTCGTCTCCGGCCCGTCTTCCTCCTCGTTCCCCTCCTGTGTCTCCTCCGCTGTCCCCTGACCCTACCCCTCCGTCTCACGTTTGGGCTCGCCGTCCCTCCCGTGCTCGTCCCGTCTCTCCTGTCCTGCCCACCCACCCTATGTTGCTCCATTCCCACTCGTCTCGTCCTCCCCTCCTCCCGTCCCCTCCTCCCTCGTCCCTTGCTGTTGCACCTCCTCCGTTCTCTGACTACCTCCGTTCTGCTCGTCCCCTTGTCCCTCGGGTCCTTGCCTCTCTTGTTACCGACCCTACTGTTCCTGTCTCGCGCCTTGACGCGCTTGTCGCTGCTGTCGCTGACTTCGCTTCTACCCGCCGCCTTG